TCACTCAAGAAAAGGCGGAACAGACCCGCTTTTCGTTGCAGAGAATGCAGCTGACCCTGACTGTACTTTAGTTGTTTATATGGGCTTGTCAACTCTTCCTTCCCTGGCCTCAAAGCTGATACATCATGGGTTGCCAACTGACACACCAGCTGTTGCCATTGAGCGAGGGACAACACCCCAACAACGCATGGTAAGCGAACAAAGTTGCTTCTCTTTCTCTTATTCCTTCATTATTTGGGAAGGTTGTTGCTTTTGTCAGCTACCTTGGGAGAATAAATCATTTGTTATTTGATAACTGCACGCAACAAAATTGGAACAACAGGGACATTTACACGAGTAATCTTGCTTTATGAAATATTTCAACCTCTCTTCCTGAGAATGAAGATAGGCTACTTCCATTTGGTCTATTGTTTTCTTGAGGGAAGATTGCAAAAAGGTCCTCATGTCAAAAAGACATCCACTTTTCCCCTCTGAGATTTTTCTGACGTTGACCTTCCAATTGAGAGAAAAGCACTTTTAGGTGCACAGATATTACAACAGTGTAGTGCAAGGATCCTTGGTCCCTAAATGGGGCTTATTGGCGTCATTACGACCACGTTTCAAGCTTCCTTTGGTTGCCTTTTCAAAGACGATATGAAGCTTGGCCTTAGTGAGTAACCGTGAATGTTATTGTTTTTTTGGATAAATACTCAGGATAGTCTTTCCTGGTCACATTACCACCCCATTGGTTACAGAGCTCTCTGGTATTAGAAATATTGGACTCATAACCTTTGCGCTAAGACTACCACCTCTATTCTCATGTCATGCTCAGCTCCATTGGTTACTATAGTCAACATGATCGTGAAAACAGCATTTGTTTGAAGTTAAGAAATGTGCTGGAAGGTTGTTTATATAAAGTGGAGTGAAGAATAAATGAAAGACTGAGCCTTGTCTCAGATCTCTAACTTGGAGAAGCTATCTGAAATAAAGCTTTGAAGTGATTTAGATAATAGCAAATTCTGCATGTAGTGTTTATTTGTAAACAATAGGAACAAGGGTTCCAGCCTTCACATGCAAGGATTGGATGAGTTGTTCTTTGCTATTATACCAATGTTTCCTTTCTGCCTATTTAAGCATTCAACTTGACAGGAATATTGGATTGCGCGGCTGATTGTAGTTGCCCTTGTAATTCATTCAGGTGTTTGCAGAATTGAAGAATCTTGCTGACGACATTGCATCAAACCAGCTAGTGTCACCAACCTTGATTATCATTGGGAAGGTTGTGGCGCTTTCACCATTATGGCGACATTCTGCTGAAGAGAGTCCCATCTTGGTTGAGACTAGACCTTCAACCAACACAGTGCAATAGGGCAGCCTCGGTGAACGTATGATTCTTTGTGATCCCAAAACCTCTTCTCTTTCCTGCAGCCAAGCTGGACATTGCTGCTTGCTAAAAGATGTGCAACCCGATCAGTTCTCTTTCAGACTGAAAGTCTAGCACAGTAGAGGCGGTCTCATTTCTGGTGCTGTGGCGATATTTGGAGAAGAATCTCCAGCCAGCATGAACATCAACAGGTGGGATGTTTACTCATTCCAAAAAGCTGGCAACTCTTGCTGTATTTTCAAGAGCCAACAAGTGACTTTAAGATTTTGATCGATATCAGATTTTTTTAAGCAAATATTAATCCATAAGCACTCATAAAGGAGCACAATGTATCTATCGAATAATTGATAATTTTGTAAATTGAGTTGGAAGGATATTGTGCTTTTTGGGTTTTAGTGTATTTCTAAAAATTGATGGCCTTTTTAAAATGGTCTAAGAATACCCCTCGATATACAACTCCTCCCGTCATACTTTAAAACAAAAATACCCTTATTTTGGATGGAGTGCCACGTGGCAGCACCGGATGAAATCGACCCATTTCTTTTTTTTACTCGATCTGTTTTTAAAAACCTACCATCCGACCCAATTTTCACCCAAGGCTAAACTTAGCATCTTTTGTTCTAAAGCAATTTTTCTATAAAAAATGGAAAAAAAAGATTCAACAAAATATTTTCGTTTTTTTTAAAACTAATGCACTTGTAGTCCATCGCTTTAGGATAGTCCTTTTTTTTTTCAGTTTTTACAAAAACTATACTTTAAAAAAAGTGAAAAATAATTTTTTGTAAAAACTGAAAAAAAAAAAAAAAAAAAAAAAAAAAAACTTTCCTAAAGCAGTGGACTACAGGTGTATTAGTTTTAAAAAAACGAAAATATTTTGCAAAATCTTTTTTTTTTCCAGTTTTTACAAAAAAAAAATGCTTTAAAAAAACTGAACAAACTGAAAAATATTTTTTTAAACTGAAAAATATTAATTAAAAAGACCTATAATCATAACCATACCCATTACTCATACACGAAAAGCAATTTTCTAAAGCAATATTTTTGTAAAAACTGAAAAACAAAGATTCAAAAAAATATTTTCGTTTTGTAAAAACTGAAAAAAAAATAATATTTTTTTGTAATAACTGAAAAACAAAGATTCAAAAAAATATTTTCGTTTTGTAAAAACTAAAAAAAAAAAAAATTGTAAAAACCGAAAAAAAAAAAAGGACTTTTCTAAAGCAGTGGACTACAGGTGCATTAGTTTTAAAAAAACAAAAATATTTTATTGAATTTCTTTTCCCCATTTTTTACAAAAAAAAAATTGCTTTAGAACAAAAGATGCTAAGTTTAGCCTTGGGTGAAAATTGGGTCGGGTGGTAGGTTTTTTAAAACGGATAGGGTAAAAAAAAGAAATGAGTCGTTTTCATTTGGTGCTGTCACGTGGCACTCCATCCAAAATAAGGGTATTTTTATTTCAAAGTATGAAGGGAGGGATATAAATAACCCAATAATACAACAAGGGTATTCTTAAACCATTTTCGAAGGTACAGAGGTATATTTGGCCCTTTGCCGTTGATTGTATCTCTTATTATTCTCTTGTTGAGCAAGACTGCCTTTTCTCGAGGTGTTTCAGCTGTCCCCATTACAGAGGAAAAATTGGTTTTTTTTGTTAGTTTGTTAAAGCCCAGACCAAAGTCCAATTGTTTAACGCGTATCAGGAGAGCAACTCTTTTTACAACAACACAATATAATCTCATTAGTGGAGTCTGGGGAGGGTAATGTATACGCTCACTACTAGAGCAACCCCTTTTGTCTAACTTATTTAGTTGTCGTTCTACAATCCTCAGGAATTAACAGTCTTTCCATAACAAATCTTACATAATTATTGAAATTCTCTCACACACAACGGCAGGACAGTAGGGAAGCACTAAACGACCTGCATATATTGCATATGAAATTTGTTAATGCTACATTAGCATCCAAAATGTTTGTACCAAAAGAGCTGCTCTCCTATTAGGAAATGTCATATACAAATGAATTTGAGCTGTATATATCTTCTTCTTTTTTTTTTTGGAGCAGTTAACCTTTTAGAAAAAAATGTATCTTAGAATTAAATATTTAAGTACATTACTAAATGGATGAACATCTTCATTTTGATACGCTCCCAACTCCTTTCTTTATTAGTATCATTTTGTTAAAGATATACAACTGGGAGCCTATCTGAACCATAACGATTATGACTTATTCTTATTTGCAATCATTTGACAATAGTATGCCAGTTCCATTTAAAAAATGGAGTAGAACATTATATTTATGTGTCAAAAGAACTTTATCTTTTATCGTGAATTATTCTGTCTACCCTCATTCCAGCTGCCATTTGGTTGTCCATTTGGAAGGATAGGACCAATAGCTTTTTTGAAAACATACAAGGCTCTATACTTATGACCGTTTGGCCATGAATTTTGCCAAAATAAATTTGGGATTTATTTGGCAAACATATGTTTGGCCATAGATTTTGCCCACATTTTAGCAAAATCTCAAATCCCAAATTCAAAATCCCAAAATCACCTCAATTGGTGATTTTGGGCCAAAACATGACCAATATATTTTTTAAAATTTTTAAATATTACCCTAAATTTTTATAGTTTGTAAATGAGCCCGCATTTATTACGACCAACTAAATATTTGATAAATATGCTCCCTTATTAGCTCAATCCTTTGTGTATCTTACTTTTGCTTCTGATTTGTAGGCTAAATGGCTTTCTTAATACTCATATCAGTTAACTTTTTCTTTTTAATTAGGAGCCATAATTCTCTAATGGGATTTCATTGTAATTAATGATTTATATAGTTCATTATAAAAATGATAATTTTATACCAAACTTATTTATGTTCAGGACTATGGTTTGTGATAATGGTACTATTGGGTATTTGTGATAGTTTTTAGAACTTGTGGGGTATAAGTCATGTTTTATGTTTTTTCAACTAAAAAGTGAAATATGTTTTGAAAAATCATGTCCAAACACATTTTCATCTTCAAAGCAAACTTCTTCCAAATCAAATTTTTCAAAACAAATTTGGGACTCTATGGCCAAACGCTAGCTTAATGTTAAGTGCAATTGTATATTTTTGCTTTGGCTTTTGGTGGAAAATATCCCCTATACTGTAAATGATAAGTTGGCCATTGTTGATTTCCTTAGTGCATTCCATGACTTGCAAGTTGTAATGGTTCATTTTTTTTTTTTTTAATATAACTTTTCCCAGCATTCACTTTTTGATGGTACTTCAATGTACATTTCACCTATCAGGAAATAAAATTATTCTGTCTCCTCTTATTCTTTTCTTGTTTATTTAAAGAAATAGGTGAAAGTACTAAGTTGTAGTAGCTAGGGCCACTAGAATTTGCTTTTCCGAATTTAAACCAAAACTGCACTTTAGCCCCATTTTAAGGCAGCTTTACCCCACACCCCACCCCATCCAAATCTATACATAATCCACGTATATTCCTACATTCACATTCCCAAGCTAATTTGTTATTAGGGGTAATATTTGAAGAAGATAAGACATTTTCCGATTGCTCAATGTTTAACATACATATTATGAAGGATTTCTGCCATTACGTTATAGAGGATTTATCAACTGGCTCAGAGAGAGATATAATTAAAATGGCATATATACCTCAAAATTTGTATGATTATATACATTAATACATATACATTGACTATGGTGGCTTACATTGATACAGTGTAAAGAATGAATGAATAAAAATGTGTTCATTTCCCTAAGCAAATAATGCAACTTTACCTTTGCTCCCCAGCTTCAAAAGAACACTATAAAGAAGAAATAGGAATTGAACTTGTATAATATGTTGCTGCAGTATCACAGAATCACCTTCCCAGTTTTGCTGCATCGGACTCATGTTACTATAAAGTTATAACCACCAACCATTCACCTCCAAATCGAGTCGAAAACTGCACCTCAAACCACCTTGTCTGCTCTTAAAAAGCATAGTGAGGCTTATCCAAAATTCTCAGGATGTTGTAAGACTGTACGATTTATCACATGTTATTCCCTCGTAAGGAGTAGTTACATCGACGAATGGTTCATAGTACCATTGCACATGCACTCTGGGACAGGGTATTTTGTCACATCCCTTCCTGCTTTCCTCAATTCTGGCTGACCTAAGGAATCTCTATGCAATTCCAGTATAATTCTGTTGAATTCTGTTTCAGAAAGAGATGAATTCAGAAAATGTCGAAGCATCTGTCTTTTGTTGGGAGTAATAGTCTTTTTGTGTCCTGCATAAGCCCTGTGACCCTATTGTAATACAAATTACAATCACTAGTTAGAGAAAAATCTCAGAACTAAATTTCCAAACTAGTGGCTCCTCAACTATAACTAGCAACTGTAGTGTAAGGGACGCGACAATACCTGAATAGCATGTCCCATGTTTCCACCATGAGATGGCATGAAAACATTGCTGTTCGCGGATACTATGTAGTCAAGAGCAGCCATAAGGGATGCTTTCTTTGCAAATGGCTCGAGTTCCCCGGGCAATGCAAGATCCTCTTTGTTATAGAAGTGAGTGAATTCACTTGTCAGTGGTTGCAATGCTTCTTTCCCACCTAAAGGAATTCCTCCTGCCCAATATATTCTTGCACTCTTTGGTGCTCCTAGAGCTTTTAGCAACCTAACCACAGATTGTAAATTTGTTTAAGTAGACAATATTTTAGAAGTGCATAAGCAGAATAAAACTTTTATGAAGGCTAATGCTTACCTTGTGACCTCTAAGGCATTCAAGGGACAGAGACCAGCAAGTTTTCTGGTATGGTAAGTCATGTTTGAACGTGAAGTTAAGAGCTCGGGCCTTTGCTTTCGCTCATTGTTGATCATCTCATCATACTCATGGCTTAAACCAGGAAGACAACCTGTTCTCACCCACACATCCTTCTCCATTCTCAAATGAAGAGCAACATATGGTCCCTTACTCCTCATCCTCTCAGTAAGCTTGTTACCAAGTTCTAAGATTGATGGGGAAAATCTCAAAGCATGAAATGCCACCTACAAGTTCACATATTAGAATTTTGTCAAATTGACAGCTAATGCCTACAGAAACATTTAGCAGTTGTTTTGTTCCAATAATACCAAAACTATATTCTGCATCAATATTCTTGCAGTTGGTGTTGTACTTTATACTACCAAATACGACGTGAAATAAGAATACACATACCAACAATATCTGCATAATAGAACAATGAGATTTAAATTTACCTTGCAGCGAAGTTTTTGAAGATCAGAGGGAAGATCCTTAGAAAGTCTCGAGTCAAGGCCTCGCAGAAGTAGAACACCATCCCTCCTAAACTGCAGGAACATCAATTCAACAATCAAAATCAGTTCCTCTGTAATTTCCCAAAACTTAGTTTCAACTTCAATGCACTAAAGACTCTTCTTAAATAAAACAAAAAAGATGAAAACATCTACATGAATAGTAAATATCCTTATGAAAAAGTCTAAGAGTTGAATTGGTATTTGCGTTTTTGGGTTCAGGTATCTATTCAAGAGTATAGTAATTCATTCCAGCTGCCATAGAGTCAATTTCAAGACTTTGTCCAACTAGCCAACTTGAAAGATACTACTTCAATTTATTCCAAAGACCTCAACTTTGGTATTAACCAAAGAAAAAAACCAATCTTGATTTTCTCCATATATAGAAAATTCAAAAGCCATCAAGTTTTACAATCTTGATTTTGTCCAACAGCTAGGACTTACAAAAGACCATTAATCATACACTGAACCTCAACTACCAAAGTTAAAAAAGAAAACCATTAATCATTTTTCCTTCCCATTTTTAGTTTATTGCTTTCAATAATTTTAGGCAGTTGGACCAAACACCTACTAAACCAAAACAAGGAAAGTAACTTGATAGAAAATTGAATGAATCTTTATACCTTTCTGGTATAATGTGAACGAATCCATTCAGGGGAGGCATGGAGAGGAGTCCTTGACTCCTCTACTGGTCTACTCATCACGTGTGTAGATGGAAGTGATGAAACTATTCTTACATCATTTGCTAATACTTCCTTAAAATGATCCAAGTCAAATATATCAGAGAACTCACTGCAAACAAACACCAAAAAGAAACATAGAACATACGTTAAGAAATCAAAAACACCCCAGAATAGCATAAAAATCTAACTTAGACCAACCACAATGTTACTCTATGGAAATAACCAGAATTCAGAATTGCTTCAATAATTGAAGTTTCCAAATAGATGAAATAAGCTTGTCAAGTTGATAAAGTTGCCTAAATTCAGAGAATTAGGCAGGAAAATAAACATTTTCCTAACTGAATGAAACAAAAACAGACCAAAAAGATTAAAACTTTTGAGCTGGAAGCAAAGAAAAATGGTTCAAAAATGAAAAGGAACAAACCTTTCATCACCCCAAATGACATTAACTTGCAAAATGGGAACAACAAGAGCAGCACCAAGAATCCTAGCAATCACCACTGCATCTACAATCTGATTTCTTTGCTGATTCATTCCACCGGAAACCACCACCATTAAATATTTTTTCCTTCCTTTTACAATATCTACACTTGTTTTCCTATACTCTGCACTCAAATCCAAACATGGCCTATAACCCAACCCATCAGGTTGTTCCCAAAACTCACTCTTTTCATCCCCTTCTTCTTTTTTCCCCACATTTAAAGCTCCAATACTGAGCTGAGAAACTTGTTTGTCATTTGAGAATGAGCTCTTTTCTTGTAAAATCTCACATGGGTTTGGTGTAAAAGGAACTAAAGTTTCAAAATTAAACCACATCTTTAACATACCAACAAAACCAAAAGCAAAAAGAAACAAAACCCAGAATCTTGGATTATTGAGCAAAAGCTTGAGCTTTACAGAAAAAGATGGATTCTTTTTCTTGGGAGAAAGTAACAGAGACTGAAGTCCTGAAGACGAAAGTGAATTTATTATCTGAGATGGCACTGCTATGTAACATTGCTGCTTCTTCTTGTTGCTCTTTGACACTGCCATTTTTAACACAAAAACAATGAAAACAAAGCCTTTTTTCTTCCTTTATATATGTGTAAATTGTTGGTGTGTTTAATTTTAACACAAGATTTTTCTCAGAGACTTTCTTAGAAAGTTTCTGCAAATAGAAAGGAAAATAAGGGTGTAAAAGAAGAACGGCGGGAACACGAAATACGATGATTAAATGCGCGTTTGGTATTGGATGTAAAATGGTGGAAGTCAGACAAGGTGTAAGCGTAGTGTCAGATCTTTTTTCAATTTTTTCTTAGTGGGGAATTGAAGAGCTGAGGGTATTTATATAAGTGTGTGAAGTGGGGGAAGAAATTATTTATTAATGTGTTTAGTCTAACGTCTTGGTTTTTCAAATTGAGAAGCAATTATAGTTTTATTGAAATGACGATATTGCTCTTGGTCAAAAGTAGAATAAGAATTATAAATAAGAAAATCTCAGTCCATGCGTGAATTTCATTCCTTTTTTTTGAGGTGTTGAATTTCTTAAACTACTGGACTAGTATTACTCGTGAAAAACGAATAATTGTGAAGTTGTGACAACGATATGTCTTTGAGTTATTTAAGAGTTTTTTCATTTGTTGCGGAGTCCGGAACCTAAATGTGGCTTTTTGGACTTAAATGACCAAAATGAGTGGAAAAAAAAATATTGTGACCAAACTATACATAGCGCACTTTTAAAGGGCGCTATACTTTAAGTTAATTAGACTGTCAGGTATAGCGCCTTTATAAACGGCGCTATACATATTTTGTGGGCCCACCAATAACTTTTCTGCGCTTAACTGACATAACAATAATTCAAATTATACCTCAAAAAATTTGACCCCCCGGATTGGGCATTGCCTTATTTAAAGGCGGTAAGGATTTTGCAAAAATTCATTCAGAAATATTCTCAACTCGTGTTAAATTTTTCTTCTTGTTAAATTCTCAAGCATTTTGTCATAATATCTGAAGAGCGAAAAGTAAGGGTTTCATTATATTGGGGAATGAGATTGTGGTGGCGAATAACTTAGTGAGCTATAGTTTATCTCCACAGTGTCATGTTAAGTTGCCACTTACAATGGAGTACGATAGACTGGTATCGTTCTTGTGTAACAAAATGAGTGTGAGCAAACGTTCGGTGAATCTTAAAGTAACCGGAAGATATCCGTATTCTCTCACTCCGCAAGGGGTTGCTTGTTACGCTGAGTTTTAACATCGAGCATGATGAAACTTTGAGTTATTTTTTGAGGACTCCGGATTAACACCGGAATTTTCTTTTGATAAAAATGTTGGAAATGTACGTGAAACTTGAAGATGTTCGCAATAATGAGGTTGCGCAAAGCAAGGATAACCCTCAGTCATCGGGTGGTTATTCTGGAGAAGTTTTTGCCGAACAGGTTCCGGCTGAAAGAGTTTGGCCTGATTTAAACTTATCTCCACGGGTGAATGAAGAGCAAGGAAATAATTTATCTCCTACTTTACATAATCCACAAGACGAGTAATAAACTTCAATTTTCCTTTGTGTTGCGATATTTATTTTTGTTGTATTGAATTTGTATTAACACCCATATATTCCACAAGGAATACCGGCCAGGTATGAATTTTACAAGTTATGAACCCACGCCCAGTTGGAATATGCGTACTTCTGGTGTGTTGGATCATGGTGGTCCATCCGGGAGTCATCACCAACAGGATAATGTCCATCATGGGATGTCAATACATTACGACTTGTAAGTGAAGTGATATAGCTATATGTAAAGTATTTATCAATTTGAGTAGCTCATTATTTTATTGTTTGTGCAGTGAAAACGAGTAAGTTGAACCTCGTGTCCTGACTCAATTACCCGAAGATGACATATTTAATCAGGATCTGACAGATGCACCGAGTCAGGAAGAGAACAGTGATTATGACAATAATGTCGATGAGTCTGAAGATGACACACCCTTCCCTGATGAGGGTGGCGATGAGGAGGAAAAGAATGATGGACCTGATTTGACGAGGGAGCATGCTCCTCCCCCCCAACCCCATTAGACCAAGAGTGTACGAGTCCCAAGTGTCGTTTCATTTAAGAGAGATTCCCTACCTTGATCATTTGCCAAGTATGCCGGATGTGGATGCCCTCACAAGGGATACTAACGAAATTCGGACAGCAATGTGGGATGAGTCTAGACCAACGGTTCTAGCAAAGGGCATGCTTTTTCCTGATAAAACGCGCTTAAGCAGGGCGGCGAAAATATACAGCGTAAAAGAGTATCGTGAGATGACGGTATGAGAGTCAACTCCGGATGTATACAAGGTTGTTTGTCATAGATGGTTTACGAGTTTTCATTGGATACTGCGTGCGAGCAAGAAGAAAACAGGTATGTGAAAAGTGGGCAAATACATTGGCATCCACACTTGTAAAATGGACACATTCAGTGGGAATCACTTTAACTTGGATGTTGACTTGATTTCTCTTGTCTTGATTCCACACATTGAAGCATTCATAGGGTACAAGATCAAATAGTGTATTACATCCGTCCATCAGGAATATGGTTGTACCATTACCAAAATAAAAGCATTTTTCGGGCGCAAACGTGCGTTTGAAATTGTTTATGGTAACTGGGATAATCATTTGCAACTCTACCCAAGTACATGGCTGCATTGCAATACTTTAACCTCGGGACCGTTGTTGAATGGAAACTTGAACGGAGTTCGGGAATACCATAATATATATTCAAATACGTGTTCTGGTCATTTAAACCAGCAATTGATGGTTTTATGCATTGACGTCCGGTAATATCCATAGACGGCACGCATGTCTATGAAAAGTATGATATTAAGCTATTGATCGTCGTTGCAATAGATGCTAATAGAAGTATATTTCATGTAGCTTTTGCTATTTGTGCCAATGAAAGCCAAGAGATGTGGACACTGTTTTTGAACCACTTGAAAGAGCAAGTTGTCAAACAACGTTTAGGTATTTGTCTAATATCTGATCGGCATGGTGGTATTATAAGTTCTGTAGAGAATTTGCCAGCATGGCAAGAACCGTATGCCTACCACCGTTACTGTGTGAGGCACCTGAAGGCCAATTTCCAGAAGGCATATCCCAACAAGGATTTGCATGATTTAACGTGGATGGCTGCAACAGATCACCGAGAGCATAAATTCTGGAGGCACGTGGAATCTATCAGGCAGGAAGACGAGGCAGCCTATTATTGGTTGATGCGACATAAGCCTGAAAAGTGGACTTTGCATGCGGATGGTGGCAGAAGATGGGGAATTCTGATTACAAATGTGTCAGAGTCTTTCAACGGGTTATTGAAGTCTGCACGAGGATTACCTGTCACTGCCATGGTGCGAATGTCATTCAAGTAGATGGCAGAGAGGTTTGTTGAACGGGCTGCAACTACAACGTCATTGATGGAAAAGGGGTATTGAATTTATAATTATACAATATATTAAGTATTCACATATGGGTTCGAGGCTCGATATTTGAGGCCCGATAGCACCAAGATATCCTGAATTCTTGTATGTGTTAGTTTTATTAATTTATATATAGTTTTATTATTTTACATATTTTATTTTATATGTTTATTTGTTACTCACTTATTTTTTACTATAATAAAATTAAATAATTAATTTTAATAATTATACAAGATTTAATTATTAAATATTCATAAATGGTTTCCAGGCTCGATATCTTGAGGCCCAATAGCACCAAGATATCCGGAAAATATTGTTATTTTCTCATGTTATTTTCTTACGATCGTTGACTAGAATTGGACAGAGTTTGTGTTTGATCTATCAGCTATTTTAACGTATTTTTGGGTATAAGAGATACTTAAATGATTAATTTCAATAACTACAGGGATACTACACTAAAAGATACTACATTTTACTACGCTAAAAGGGCACTATAATACTAGTCTTTAAGCAAATAAATAATCTAAACCAGATAAAAATAACAAATACATTTAATCACAAAACATTCACGAAAATACATATACAGCAGTAAAAAGTAACTTATTAATATTTTTTTAACAAATAATAATGATTTCTTAATTTTTACATATTTTTTAGCACACTAATATCTTAGTCCGGATAAAAATAACATACTAGTTTAATCGCAAAAAAAATACAAAACAACATAGAACACGTTTAAAACAACTAATATGCATTTTTTTATACGAGTTTCGACAAAAACTAAGTCAGAATACCTTGATTTATGTTTTTTGAAAAGTTGAAGATTTGAATCCGAAACGAGCAACCCACAACGAGAGAAGGCTTAGCTAGGATGAGAGACCAATAATCTTTACTTTTTGTGGGACGGGTGGGGTCCACTCGAATTTTTTTGGGTCGTTAATGGAGGGGGGACCTGCTGGTTTGATTAAAAAATTGAGGGAGGGGGGGAGAGGGGGAGGAGGGGCTTAATAAACTGTGTTATACCTGCACGTCTAATCAACTTTACATATAGTGCTTTTTAAAAGAGCGCTATATATAATTTGGTCACATTATTTTTTTCCCCACTTATTTAGGTCATTTGAATCCAAAAAGCCCATATTTAGGCTCCTGACTCCTTTTATGCGAGGCTAAGAACCAAGACAAAGTCAATCCTTATAAACTTTGACACTATTTATTTTTTTTCATTTTTGAGATTTTGGTCCGGAGGAAATGGTTCAAAAAATATACTAGTAGTATATATCTAATGAATGGATTAAGAGTGAAAAGGCCGGTAGGAAAAATGAGCTTTTATTTAGTAGAACTCTCACGGTCGTTTAGTATAACGGATAAGTATAAATAATTCTGTTATAAAAATTCGATATCGTCTTATCCCTTCCCTTGTTTAGTTACTAATCCTAGAATAAGTTATTCCAAGATTAAAAAAGGTACCGAGATAACTTATACATGTCAGATGGTGGAATAATAATTCCAGAATAAGTTATCCCAGGATAAAACAGTAAAATTGACAATCCAGGATTAGTACAACATACCAAACAGTTATAAAAAATAATATCATGATAATTAATTTCCACATAACTAATCCTGGTATAACTAATCTCAGCATAACTTGTCTTCAAGCCAAACGACCCCTTATTGTTATCAAATTCTCACTGCCCAAGAACCATCTCGCTCCCCAAAAAAGAAAATAAAATGCAAGAAATTAAAGTTTGAAAAAAAAGAAGTTACCCGAACAAAGAAACTGGACTGGAAATAGTTTATTGTTACTTGTAAACTCAGTCTTACTGAGTTACTGGTTGCCAAATAGCACTAGTTTATGCAATAATACCTAACATTAA